GTTTTTATTATTTATTTTTTGAGACAAAGCCTCAAGCTGTCGCCCTGGGTAGAGTACCGTGGCATCAAAGCTCACAGAAACCTCCAACTCCTGGGCTCAAGGGAGTCTCCTGCTTTAGCCTCCCAAGTAGCTGGGATCACAGGTGCCTGCCACAATGCCCAGCTATTTTTTGGTTGCAGCTGTCATTGTTGTTTGGCAGGCAGGGGCTGGATTCGAACCTGCCAGCTTAGGTGTATGTGGCTGGCGCCTTAGCCACTTGAGCCGGAGGCGCCCAGCCATATTTTGTTGTTGTTGTTGTTCCTCCGGTTTTTAGAAGGAAGGGCTCATATTCCTTTCCTGAAACTGCCATTGATGATGTCATAGCTCCTTATCAAACCCTCAACACATCTTATCTCCTTAATTTGCATAGATGCCACAGGAGGAAGGTGTCAACAGCCAGGCAAGAACATACCTGAAGGTGAGCCCAGGTGCAGCTCTGGTTTTAGAGAAGAGAACAGACTATGTGGGAAAAAAAGCTCCGACTCACCCACTTCAAATCCTAGAGCTACACGCTGTGGTCTTTGTCATGCCTCTTTGCCTCTCTGAGCCTCAGTCTTGTCTTTAAAACATGGAGAATGACCCTATCTGATGGGCTTGCTCAGAGGTGAAAAAGAAATAATGAGCAGGGGGTGGGGTACGTTCTTGGAACCATCCCTTTAACTCTGATTATTGTTACTAAAATAACCAAGTCACTCCATTGTTGGATTTAGGACCAGACCCACAAATAGCTTTATTGTATTTCCTGAGTTCCTGAGGACTGGTATGGGGCTGTGGCGGAGCAAGGACACCCAGGAGTGTGGCAGTCTATGACAGCAAGGGTCCTAGAGCTGGGGTGAACCCCTTCTTTATCAGTACCCAGGGGCAAAGGGTGGTGGCGGGCGGTATTCCTCTGGAAGCCAGTCCTCCTGGGGCTCTGCCAAGTCCTGCAACTCCGGCTTGGACACCTGGGAGGACAGGGCCCTCACTACTGATTGGTTCCAGTTCCTATCCCATGGGCTCACCTCGTCCCAGCTGACCGACCACTTGGTCTTCCTGGAGGGGAAATTTCTGTCGCTTGGAGTTTGGGAACAAAAGGGGCTCTTAAGGGATGTAGCCCTGCAGACATTGTCCTCCCTGGTGGCATCACCTGGGTGCTTCCGGCTGTTGGCCTTGTCTCTGGAGCCATGGGTCACTGCTGATTTTCCAGCAGCCCAGAGTGGTGACAAACTCACAGCCATGAGGTGGGACTTCAGCTGTTGTTGGACCCTCTTGCCCCTCTCGGGGAGCGTTTTGAGGTTCCTCCAGAGTTTCTGGCGTGTGTCTCGAAGAGAGGATTTCAGGAGGTAAGAGGAAGAGGCTTCCTCTCTGAGTACTCTGTCCATCTCTGCTGATAGCTTCTTTTCCTCTGGCTGATGGGGCAAGACTGGCTTTGGAGAGGCCTGAAATCAAGAGCAGGCAAGACCTGGGGCCAAGGTGCCTAACACAGTACCAAATCTGCCCTGGAAATTATGACTGGGGTTCCACTTCATGCCCTGGGACCGAGAAACTTCCCTGTGTGAACCCCTAAACCAGATTTTATGCCCCATCCTTCCCATCGCAGGAAATGACTTCACCATATCCCCCCAGAGCATCTGTCTCCACTCTGCTGTTACAGGACAAAAGCAGCCATAGGCTGTGCATCAATGTACAGGCATGCCCGTGTTCCACTAAAACTTTATTTGAATTTCATTGTATTCTTTTTTTGTTGTTGTTTTGTTTTTTGCGGTTTTTGGCCGGGGATGGGCTTGAACCCGCCACCTCCAGCATAAGGGGCCAGTGCCTTACTCCTTTGAGCCACAGGAGCCACCCAATTTCATTGTATTCTATATTATCTTCACTTTGTTTATGCCAACCATTCAAAAATGTAAAACCCAGGCTGGGCATGGTGTGGCTTTACGCCTGTAATCCTAGCACTCCGGGAGGCCAAGGTGGGTGGATTGCTTGAGCTCAGGAGTTGGAGACCAGCCTGAACAAGAGCCAGACCCCATCTCTATTAAAAATAGAAAAACTAGCCAGGCATTGTGGCAGACACATGTATTCCCACCTACTTGGAAGGATGAGGCAAGAGGATCACTTAAGCCTAAGAGTTTGAGGTTGCTGTGAGCTATGATGCCATGGCATTCCACCCAGGGTGACAAAATAAGACCAGAGTAAGGCCAGGCATGGTGGCTCATGCCTATAATCCTAGCATTCTGGGAGGCCGAGGCTGGTGGATTGCCTGAATTCACGGGTTTGAGACCAGCCTGAGCAAGAGCGCGGCCCCGTCTCTAAAAAATAGCTAGGTGGGCAGTGCCTGTAACTCAGTGGGTAGGGCACTGGCCACATACACCAAGGTTGGCCAGTTTGAACCCGGCCAGGGCCAGATAAAACCACAATGACAACTGAAACAAAAAAATAGCCAGGCATCGAGGTGGGTGCCTGTAGTCCCAGCTACTTGGAAGGCTGAGTCAAGAGAATCACTTGTGCCCAGGAGTTTTAGGGTGCTGCGAGCTAGGATGTCACAGCACTCTATCGAGGGCAACAAAATGACTCTGTCTCAAAAAAAAAAAAAAATAGAAGCCATACTTTACATTTATGGGCTGTACAGGAATAAGTGGTGGACCAGATGTGGCCCAAGGACCTTAGTTTGCCAATCTCTGATCCAACCAGTTGTTCAGGCCATAATCACAAGTGTCATTTATAGCAAATGCTGTAAATGCCCCCATCCTTCTATTCTATATCATTCTGGCCCCAGAGTCCTGCAACAGTTGGCCACTGGTGTTTTACTTTTCAAATATCTCCCTCTCACTAACTCCACTTTGTCTATGCACTGGCTATTCTACTTTTCAAACACACTGAGCCACAGGACCTTTGCATGTGCCATGCTGTCTACCTGTATGCCTCCCTGCATCTCTATGTGTGCCAATTTCCTCTTCACTCTGCACATCCCTGTTCTGTGTCATCTCCAGGAAGCTTATCCTGACTGCCTGCCCTGTCTTGTACCTCCACTTCCATTGATGTCTATCACATCAGCCTGTATTGTTTCTACCCCTGTCAGAACTTCCACTGATATGAACTTCCCTGATATGCAGGTGGCTTAGAGAACACTTAGGCCTTGACCCAGGGGCATCCAAGAGTCCACCCATCCCCTAGAACAGGGGTCCTCAAACTTTTTAAACAGGGGGCCAGTTCACTGTCCCTTAGACTATAGGAGGGCCGGAGTGCAGGCCCCAGGATGAGTCAGCTGCTAAGCAGGACAGGCAGCAGTGGCAGCCTGGAGGGTTGGATAAATGTCCTAGGTGGGCTGCATGTGGCCCGCAGGCTGTAGTTTGAGGACGCCTGCCCTAGACGCTGGGATAGTCTCACATATTCATTCATTTATCTACTACAGGAACTCATCAGTTGAGCACTTTCAGTATAGGGTGGGAGAAGCAGAGGAAAGCAAGACAGATTTTGGAGCCTCCCAAAGCTCATAGTCTGATGGGGAAGGCAGACAGGGAACATGTAAACCCATAAATAAGTAAATAAATTTTTTATAATGGTCCTGCTTATACTAGTAAACAAGATTTTTTTAAATACTGAGAAGCATTCTGCAGTGAACAAACAGGGTGATAAGAGAGAGAATGCAGTGGGTCTTGCTTTAAGTCTGGCACCTGCGGAAGGAGACACATGAAGGAGAACTTCAGGAAGGCATGGAAAGTCAGGAGGCAGAGCACACACACAGCATGTGCAAAGGTACTGAGGTGGAGTCAGCATGGAAAAGGGCCATTAGTGGTGATGGGCAGAAACAGGAGTTGAAGTTGGAGTTTGAATTTAATCTCAGGAAATCACTGGAAGGTTTTTAAGCACTAGGCTGGCAGCTGTTGATCACCTCTGCTTCTGCCCTTCCCTTAGGCCGGAGGCAGGGCCCTCCATCACATACCCCCTCACGTGGGTCCAGGCAGCAGGAAAGCCTTTGATGTTCCTCTGATGCTGGGCTTTGGGTGGGGCTGGCAGCTTCCTCAGCCAATGAATTAGAGAAAAGGAAGAGATTCTCATAATCCACGTTTGCTGGATCATTCTGCAGAATGAAAGGGACCTGCAGTTGGGCACTATGGAAGGGAAAAGGGTGGGGCTTGGGTCCTGGATGAACCCTGGAAGGAGGGTTTCAGAGACTGTCCCACCTCACAGCAGTTTCTCAGATCCTAGATGGTGACCACTAAGCTTTATAAAGAAGATGGTTTGCCCATGGCAGTTTCTTTTTCTTTCTTTTTATTTTAGAGACAGAGTCTCATTTTATCACCTTCGGTAGAGTGCCGGGGCGTCACAGCAACCTCCAACTCCTGGGTTTAGGCGATTCTCTTGCCTCAGCCTCCCAAGTAGCTGGGACTACAGGCGCCCAACACAACGCCCGGCTATTTATTGCAGTTTGGCCGGGGCCGGGCTCGAACCTGCCACCCTCGGTATATGGGGCCGGCGCCCTACCCACTGAGTCACAGGCGCCGCCAGTCCACGGCAGTTTCTTAAGGGTTCTAGGGGTCCTCAAACTTTTTAAGCAGGGGGCCAGTTCACTGTCCCTCAGACCATTGGAGGGCTGGACTGCGGGCCCGGACAAGTCGGCTGCTAAGCAGGACAGGCAGCGGCGTTAAAAACACCCGGCGGACCGGATAGACGTCCTAGGCGGGCAGTAGTTTGAGGACGCCTAGACCATGTTCCTCGAGCTTTCTAAGGAAATGTGCCATTCCTACAAATCAGCCAAGGCCTACATATGAACCCTTAGAAAAAAATCAGACTGGTAACATGGGGAATGAGGATGGACCCATGAGGACCCACCCGTGAGAACAGAGAGACCACGAGCGACCACGCTTGGCGGAAGTTGGGGGGTGGGGCTAGGTAGGGCCGGGCCAGGAGGGGCCAAGGACCTTGAGAGTGACAGTCACGAAGGAGCTGAAGCGGGTGGGTGGGAGCAAAGGCTTCTCGAGAGGCTTGACCCTCAAGGAGATGACTGTGGCCTTCGTGGGCCCTCACCTGCCCACAGGGCTGTGTCAGCAGCTCCCCGTGCAACTCAATTGGCTTCTGCTGGTGGAAGGTGACTAGGGCGTCCAGTGAGGCGTGAGCCACCTTCTCCCCCAGCATCAGGAAACTCCCATCGTCCAAGAGCTTCACCATGAAGTGGCGGCAGCAGCTTTGGGCCCTGCGGAGACTCTGTCTGAGCTGGGATATCCCACTCCCCTTCCTTCCTCCCCTACCCAACCCCCAGCCCTTGAGAAGGGCAACCTGACTGCTGGTTCTCATTTAGTCTTCTCCACTTGTAGCCATGCAACACCCACCACGTTACTAACCTTGATGCCTCAGCTTCCCCATTTATAATATGGGGCTACTAAGGCTGACCTCAGTTCTTTCAAAAATAGAAAAAGTGGGCAGCGCCTGTGGCTCTAGGAGTAGGGCGCTGGCCCCAGATACAGGAAGTGGCAGGTTCAAACCCGGCCCCAGCCAAAAACTGCAAA